CGATGCATTAATGCGTCGTGAAATATGGTGTTACGAATTATCCAATTATGCGTTCTGTTCCGTTATCAGTAGCGCTTTAAACGTGCAAGCACTTAAATGACTATCGGTGTCGTGTTCGTTCGAATGTTAGGTCGGCCATGTGGGCGATTAATGAGGTTGGTTCGTTTCCGAACGAAAACTCGTCATTTAGCAGGTTGTGTATTTGGCCAATTAAAACGTTCTTCATGGTCGTCGCAATTAGCGGCAATCAGCGAGTGTGGATTGCTCGTTTCTTGTGGATTCTTTTCGTTTTCGAATCGTTCCTTGACGACTCATCGCCTAACAGCGTCTCGATTACAGCCGGTTCTTACGATGCATGATGACCTGACGTTCTGATGGCCCTCGTTGTCTTTTGCTTCGTTCAGCGGCGGTCGAATTCCTGCCAAAGACTGCGTTGTGTCTCTCATTTGTGTTCTCTGAAGTCGTCCGTTCATTCGTCCTCATCCACGTCCTTGTCCTCGTCAGTTACAGAGTAAATTAAATGACGGCCGATTTGTAGTGTTGATTTATTTACGTCAGAAAATTCTTAAGGCCTCATATAACTGTCGACTGCCAGCGGTGATCATTCGTCATCGCTGTCACAGGAAGTTGGAAGCGAATCGGCATGACGAAAACACCCTCCTTCCCCCTGCACTTCACCGACGAACTGATGTATGCGGATGACGGTGCGGAGCCTTCCGAATACGAGGGTCTCGTTTCTCATTCTGGAGAGAAGGTGCAGTTCAGAAAATCTGGCTGGATATTTTACTGACCCGGACTGCGCGGATGATATTGTAATTTTGAATAGTTCTTGGCTCAAGCTCAGTCACCTGACGGCTTCTAATGCGACAGCTGCAAAAGTCGAGCCACTTCCTTAAGACTAAAGTTATGAGGAACATATCCCGCACATCTCAAGGAACAGGAAGATAAAGCGCTTCAGGAAGTTGACCAATTGAAGTGTTTGGGCTCTGTCGTCTCCAGCGACGACATCACCCAATAGAACTGGTTCCAAAACAACAGATATCGACCAGTGGGCCAGCATGCAACATGGGGGAGCAAGGTAGCGGCTGATCTGCAGTCGGAGAGGAATATTTCTTTCTACGATACAGTAACAAATGCTTTATAGCAAAAGTGTTGTATATTCGCAAATGCGCCGGACATCACAAACCAGAGATTATGCAGACGACTGAAGATGATAATCTCAGTGAAGATGATGATCTCAGCAAACACACCACCACACAGCGGAGCCTTTCTCTGTCAAGTCGAAAGTGAAGTTCAGTCCGGAACAACTTTGCTTCCTCTATAACTGAGACCTGAGGTTTGAGGTTCCAGTTTAAACGATCAGAAACAAACTTGTGCAACTTGGGTATTTTATTTGTTTGTATTACATTGTTTCCTGGAAGCACAGGTTTGGTTTACGCAGTGCCTTCGTCCACTGCGACAGTGCGTTCGATTCAGCCGAGCTCAAAGCGGTACGAAGTGTATTTACGAAGCCGCATCGACGCATGGCGCATCACCCTGCTGCAGAGGTACTCTGAATACGCAACTAACATCACGCTGTTTAACGTCGCACTTCGCATCGCGCATCTTCGTTAAGACAAGCTCAAAGCAAGGGCAGTTTTTTGCGTAGCGACTGAAAATGATGTTCAGGCGAATATACTGAAGAATAGGGATTGAAATTGACGAAGACCGGTCAGTTCATCTCAGATTCGCTGATTCGACGACGGGAAGTACTGCCAACCTGTAAGAAACGCTGAGAAAAGAAATGGCAGAGTTGGATCAAAAATCAGCACTTTAAAGACAAACCATATGCAATCAGATAAACTGCAATAGCGGCTAATGGAGATCATGCAGAAGAAGTGGAAAAGAATTTGACATATTTCGACGTGCGAGCATACAAGGAGTATCACCTCCTGAAACATCGTTCGTGATGAGCCTTAGGTGGCCCTCTCAAGCAAAACACTTTCAAATATCTCTGGCACTGCAAGTGCTGTAAGACCATTGAGCTGTGACCTGCTTAAACCACCTCCGTCCCCCACCGTCCTCCTCCAATGGATGACTCGGAGCAGCGAGGCGGTGCGATACACCGTAAAACCTGGTCTTGGAGAAGTTATGTCGAGTTGCACCTGTTTTAACCAGTAGATTAACACGCGACTTTATCACAAGACTGATATTGTCACAAACAAGGGTAGCAAAGTGGCGTACTGAACTTCAACCAGTAAACCGTACTCTGGAACACGGCCGGTCAAC